TTTGATGTTTGATTCACTGAAACACCGCGTGACTTGGTGGAACAGAAGAGATCTCGCGAGAAAACCACGCAACATGCCCCTAATACTGTGTTCCATAATCTCGCGCTATCTGGAAGAGAATGAAACTCTAATTGGCAAAAACGCATGGATTTCTCGTGCTCGACGGACGAGATCTCAGAGACATTTTCGTCTACGATCTATTCAGGTATGGATCAGTGAGGGTTCAGATTGATTGAGCCTCCACGTCGATGATGACGTAATCGAACACAATACCACGTGACCCAGAAATCCGCAAATGGTCTAATTTAAAGACGCAGTATTAATGAAAACATGTAATTTGAAATACCCCTGTTGTTGCATGTTGATGAATACGTTACATAATCGGCATTCGTTTGAAAAATGCAATGTGCACTGACTGTTTTAAGGCGTACATTCTCTGTATAGATGTGTATTAGTAGGTTTAGTGTGAATCAATTTATTTTATTTTCGCCACTGTAAAAACATTAGTTTTATGTTCACGTTGGTTTCTTGGTTCTAAATTCACTACACTGAATTTGATAATAAGACAATATGGTTTCTTAAGTTTCGTTAATTTCACTGATTGTTGTAGCGGCGTTGTCTCATACATATTGAACAACATATTAGCAAGATTACTTGTGTATTACATTTTGATTTGGCATCAAGCAAGAATAATTTTACAATCTGTCATGTATTTGAAAACAAAACAATCTGAAAAGTTAGACAATTATCATACGACATATTTTGAAACAAAAACAAGTATGCCCTGCCTAGTTCATATGAGATGTTCCTGTCGATATACGCGTAGATGATAGCCTATCATACACAACATATCCCCTTGGACCATCCCTGTTCAATATGAAAATCATGACGAATCAATAGTGAACAATTTAACATTTCCCATATATGTCGCTCTATTTCACAGAACTTCAAACCAACATACTAGTACTGTATGTACCAATTAAATCGTGGTCACGTGGTCACGTGATCATTACGGTATATAAACGAAACGGCATATAACTACAGAATTTCTAGAACGCCCATTTGCCAAATTAAGACTTGATATTTAATTCTGAGTAGAATCCACTTTTACATATTCAGCTAACGTATCCGCTATATTATATACTTTGTGTTATCTGATAAAGTCACGTGACTTTCCTTGATCATATATGTCTTGAAATATTGCGGAATCATATTCACAATAGGAAATGGAATCGCTTGTATATGTAGTTTCTCGAGTACATTCTCCGGGAACTTTGAAACCGGTCGACATCATCAAACTGAAATTAGCTAATACTAAGACTCAGTAAAAGTCTTGTATTTTGATGGTTTTGAGTTAACAGAAAAAAATAACGATAATGGTAGAGTATTAGTTCCACCAAGCCCCTCCCCCGTGTTAAACCTGGAAGTTCGAAATTCATATGATCACCACAACTTGAATTCGTCCGCGATATATAGTCATTTAGAAGTTCTGCGAACAGTTGTTCACTGAATGTGGTGTTAGAACTAGAGAAATGTCCCACTTCGCTCAAATTACACGTCGTTTATTCTAATTTCCTTAAACTACTAGTAAATTTACCGATGTCGGCAAGTGTATAAATCCCGCTGAGCTCTATGCCTTTTTTTCATTATCATTTGGATAAATGATGTTTCAAGGAGATTTCGGTTGTCTATAACAAGCTTAAGTGGAATTCAACTTAAAATTACAGTTAATTGATTAAGTTTCAAACATTAGGATTAGTATATCTAAATCTAATGCCAAGACACATACTACTTTAGTTTTAATGTTAATTTTCCAGTCACGAAACGCCCTCTTTTGATACCTTGCCGACGTATCGCACATTGTTAAACCACACTTAAATGCATAACACGGGAATGTAACTGCCAGAAAGAAACGTTTGTTACGCCGCCGTTATATCACGCTAACGTACGAACGTATTCTTTCAGCCGTTGTTTATCGCACGGTCTACTGACCGGTTCATGCATTATGTTCTGTTGAGTGGCTCATAACTAAAAGCTAGTATATTTGAACAATTCACAATTCGTCCGAGAGTCTACATTCAACGCCCTCTATTGATTCTATTGTGTGAACGGGGTCAGTGAATTGTTATGATATTTATTCAATTTAGTTTGTTTGCGATAAAAGTAGAGGAACACCCTGATGAAACGTCGACTAATATAAATAGAAGGGGTTTCTCGTAAAATAGTGCGAACCACCCTTAAGCACCTTGATTTCTTAGAGGTTTTAGTCAAAACTTGAAAACAGAAATTATCCTTAATAACTGAAGAAGTGCACTTCCTTATTTGAAAATATGGTGGTGCATGATTTGGGTATAAAGGTCACGTGTCAATAAAGTGAACTGTGTAATATACTGTACCTTCAGTTTATCCTCGATATGATGAGACTTTCCGGCATGTGACAGTTTCTTGACTTCTAGACTTAATAATTAGTAGTAGTAGAGTTGACTTAACTGCAGTTGAACAGTCTATAGACACGACCCCCTAAGTTACTAGCACGTATTAGTATATTAGCTAATGTTAGAGGGCGCTATCATGATTCATAAGACTCGTCATGGTATCACCAACTGTTCTTTGGTTGTGTGTTCATTTCTCCGACGCCAGGCTTGATAGTTTTTGTTTACGCAGATTAGTAATTCTCACATTTGTTATATGTAGAATAGTATATAGTCAGGCATCTCTGAACTTCGAATGTGAAAATGTGAGTTCTTCCTCAACTAACTAGGGAGGATAATTACATATATACATTGTATATTAAACTGTTAAACCTAAGTTTATTTTTTAAAACCATAAACAAATATACTGCAGTACGTCGTATGATTTCAGTCGACAAAAACGTAAAGACAGTTGCTAAGTCCAGATACTATATTTATTGGGTGACACGAATATTGTGAAAGTATTGTGAAAGTATGCACTCAGATAGTACTTCGTCGATACTCTAGCTGTACTGTCTTCGTGCATACTTTGAGGTGTCCTCGTAATAACCTTATTATTATACATCTTTTCATTCCAATGATACATCGTGAGAATGCCGAAAATCCAAGTAATTTAGAACAGATCAGCGAACTTCTTTGTGTGGAGTCCGGTCAAACTCTGGTGGCATCCAAGTTTGTTTTTATTATTAGAGGACGCTTACGCGCGTAATCATTCCATATTTGGAATTCGCATTTCCTTATATGGTAGGATGAAAATATCCCGTAAAATACCGCAAAATTACGGCACGCTGTAACTTATGGCGTTACGGTGACAGAAGTTATGAAAGAAGTCAGTCCAATGGTATGATAAAAAATATTCTTGTTTACAAAATGTGGAATCTACGTATTTATGAAGATAATGGACGGGTAGAATATGTTTCTGGTTTCGAATTGATCAACACATAATTGATCACATTCAATTGGTCGCATAGCCGGACGCATTCACTCGAACATCATGATCGTGTAGAGAATGAAAAAGACTCGAGGGTAAAAACTACCAGACCGAAATGATGTAGGTAGTCACGAAATTACTTTTTTGTTTATATTACTTTGTACACTCCCTGTACGAGCCCAAAGTGGTATCTAAGAGTAAATACTTTCGGGAAATTGAGGGGGTGCCAGTACATTTCGACAAGGGTGTATCGCCGAATGAACTTCGGATTTACGGATTTCTTCTGTAATACAAAACTGTATAAAGGTGTGCCTGAAACTATTACATTTTGGTATTAGCTGCATTTGAGTAAATTTGACAATTATTCAAAAGTTCCAATAATACAATCTTGTATGCATACTTGCCCCGACTCGGAGATGCGCATGCGTAGACATCATCATTCAGTTTGATCAGGCGATGTTTTTCATCTTTTTGTGAGCATATATTTTAATTCTTTGTCATATTATAATTAAAACGTAGAGCCAAAACACATCAACCTTTGTGAACACGTTAATTTTTCGTACCGAACTGGCAGAAAATGCAACATTAAAGTCGTCGCTCCACATCCATGGACTCATAGCAACGTATAAAACACATGTGAATCACAATGTTTACTTTACTAAACGAAATTGGAGCACGCGTGAAATATTCGTAATATCCTCCATATTAAATATACCCCCTTTGCCCCCGTCGAGGACGAGACTGACACACCAACTCAAAAAACAATGTACTGTCACAATATGAAGAGTTTTTACAAACGATAACTATTTGACATGCATGAGTTAGGTAATCGTAAGTACAGATGTCCTATCCGTTGCACCCCCCTGGCGTCAAAATGTTTCTGTGACGTCAGTATGGCGTAGATGTTTGAAAGCAATGTATTTGGTTTGACGGACGACAACAGATCAAAACACTATTCTTGTGATAGTGGGCCTTCCTTAACCTGTATACGTCATAGAAACACCTCAGTCGTCGACAGATGGCGCGATTTATGGAAAAGTTGTATTCATGCATACGACGAGACTTTAAATGAAAGTATAACTAAACGGAATTTAGCGTCTAAGGAATCTTACGATTGGTGAAACGGTACGGTGGAGTGGTGACTGGATGGATTGATACGCAAGGATAAGCATTGACTAATGGGTGACTGCGATAGTGGATAAAATGGTGGATGGGGACGGGGTTAATTGCAGTCTCTTCACTATTTCGTCATTCATTCCGGTATCTATACGATTCTCACAGTTTTTCTATAACAATAACAGCCGAACGAATGAAATTGGTTAATACTAAAATTGTATTAAAAAAACGCTCAATACTGCATATAGATTATATAAACATATCAGTTTATAAGTAGTCTTCGTATAAAATATGTGATCTGATTGTCATACTTAGTATAATGCAAAATATAAAAATAACACTTGCATAAATGTATTATTTGGCAGTCCAGGTGACATAAATATCAGAAGAATTTTTGATCCGCATAAAAAGAAAATCGTATACAATGGGTGAACAAACTTGTTGTAATAGGACCAACGGTTTTGTTTCATTTGATTTAGTGTAGTGTAGTCACGGTGTAGTGTAGTTTTGGGTAGTGTAATTTTGTGTAGTGTAGTTTTGTGTAGTTTTGTGTAGTTTTGTGTAGTTTTGTGTAGTTTTGTGTAGTGTAGTGTAGTGTAGTGTAGTGTAGTGTGGTGTAGTGTAGTGTAACAATTAATGAAGCGAAATTTAAGTACTCTGTAACGCCATAATTATAAACAATTATAGAGTATTCCCAACATGTTTGTTATTAACGGTATTTAGCTTATTAAAAACTCATGTCTAAGCCAATAACAAAATAATGGTACAATTTATCGCCAAATTAAAAATAAATTTGATCAATTTAGACATTTTCACTTTTTCAACGGTCAAAGGACAGATAGGTCAAATGTTCCATCCCCTCGCTGTGCCTGCAGTTCCAAAGCATATGCCAAATTCATGATGTCATCAATAACGTCAGATTCATTTAGGTCATCGTCATCATCGTCACAATTGTGCATATCAATTTGCATGTCCTCGTTTTTCACAGTCTCCGTATTAGGTGTATCATCGTTGAGTGCAGCATTCTTGGCAACCGGTTCGTCATCGACAAATGCAGCATTTGTAGCAGCGTATTGGGCATCGTTTTCTGGTTCAATATTGACATATCTCGATACATATTGCGGCCTGTCGTCTTCGGATGCTCGCGGGGTTCTCCCTAAAATAACTTCCGAATTAACTTTACTGATGAATGAAAAGTTAGAAGTAGTTTGTTGTTTCGGGGTGCTGAGGTTTATCGAACTGACATCTTGTGGTTCGCTTACAGTTGGGTTCTTAGTCGGTTCTTCATTTTTAGTTTCTTTTCGGCAATGTTTTTTCACATAACAAATCATCACTATTGTGAATACGATGGCACAGAAAAATGCCACTAATGATATAATAAGCACCAGTTCCGATGAGAGAGTGGGGTCAGAATCGCAGCCATTTCCCGCGCAAGGATCTGATGTCGTAGTGATGTTTAGCATTTTCTGATCTTTGTAAGTAACTACCGTCTGGTAGTACCTGTCGGCCGTCCCAGGTATGACGTCATCCACTGTGAAAATGAAGACAGGTTACTAGTATACTAAAAAAGAAGTCATTTATGTGCTTCAAATGAATGAACGAACGAACAAGCGAATGAATAAATGAATGAATGAAAGATCACCGTGACGGTTATTAGGAAACCGTTGATAGGAACGAGGGACTGTGTTTAAGTGGATAAAAATGTTAAGGTGTGTGTACATGGCTGCGTGTATGGGTGGGTGGATGTGTAAATTCATGTGCCCTGTGCGTATAATTAATCAACTATATCTCACAAATGCATGCATATACTAGAACATACAGTGCTGTTTTTTTAGATTTATAAATACGTGCGTGATGGTTATGGAAATATACATATCTTGAAAAAAGGACGGAAAGCGACAAATGAACGGCGTCGACATTTCGATCAATAATTAATAACGTTTCCCGCAGTTTTGATTTAAATGATTATTAGAAGATGAAATAGAAGATGTTTTGATATTCAATATAATTTGAAATTGCATTATTGTGTTAATAGTATGGAAAAGGTGATTTCATTACAGTTGAATGTCGACAGCGCCATCAACGCTAGTATGATTAATAAAGTATGCCGCGCAGTGTAGATTTCATTAACAAGTTTTGGAGGTTTGGGATATTAACTCTATTCATTGCAAGGTCTTTAAATAGCCGAGTATTCTCAATGGTATCATTGTCCTGACGGGGCATTGGTGTGGTCACTTTTGTTATTCACTTTTGTTATTCAGATCCAAGCATCGCCTTTACTAACGCCCTCTGCTACGTGATATGCATCGCCATGCACGTCGTGACCTGCTTACGTAGTGTGTATTACACGATAACTACGTTTATTTTCAACTCACTACGAGACCTTTTGCGATACATAGAAACCTAAGATGCCATTGTATCCAGTGAATTTGACATGTTAAAGCATTGTCTGACACGGTTCACTGCTATTGTTCGTAAGTGACCCTTACGTGGTGATCGTACCGTCGTTGCGTTATACATTTAAATAAATTTAAACTACGCAGTACATACGTCCAACTAAGTGTGCTGTTATTCAGACGTTTAACGAATTGAAGTACTACACTTACCTGGTAACGAAGACGGTTGTCATGGTGTTATATCTTGATCGTCGTCTTAATTAATGTCTCAGTGGCACGACATCTGTCTATGTTGTTGTCGATATGTACATATGTCGAGCTGTCGGTACACAGTTCGTATCCATAAAACAACTGTATGGCGAATGCGTGGAATGTAACAAACAGTATACACTATTCAAATCGCTCAATACTGCTATTATGTACAGGTAGCGCCATTTTTTCTTTGCTTTGGGTTCCGATGATGCGACCCCCTAAGCTATTGAAAAAGTGAGAGCCACGGTTGGCCAGTCTTATATAATGCGAATAACGCGACGACTGACACGTACGTCGACAGTAAAGCAGTGAATTGCGTTCACAGGGATATATTATTGCAATAGTGAGAATACTTGATGTTGAAGCGTCCCCATTAAACACCCAATTACTACGCAGCGGCGACGATTTTGTAAAACTATATTACTATGAATTGATGTTGTTTTAATCTCAGACTAGTTGTATTGCTAGTCTGAGTTTTAATGAAGAGTTGTAAAGTCACTCACAAATGGTTAACATGTCTATATACATATCCGGAAATGTCAAATTAGCTGCGTTTTTTAAATATGTTTTAATTCATGATGTAATACTTAGTCAAGTAGTCTGGCATAGTCAGGGCTTTATTTCCTTTGTGTAAAAACTGTGCATTTTCAATGTTATTTCGGGGTCTCGAAAATGTTTTTAACGTGATCGCTAAACCACTGTGACCGCAATGTTTTTCATTTAAACAAAAAAGAATTCCCAACGGTGCCAGTCTACTAGTCAAGATGAACTATGAATGTGAAAACAAGCACCTGAATAGTCGGGAATATATTCATGTTTCCCGGCTAGTTGCATGATATTAGCAAAACACATATGCGATATACATAACATAGGCACCACGTGTACCACAATGTCAATTTTTAATCAGAATTCCAGATAGACTTATGCTTATTTGGCATTTCATCCAGAGGGCCATTAAGTGGTCATCCTGTACCGTAATTCACGAGGTTCGCTTCATTGGCAAAACTGGACTTCAATATATAGCGCCCTCTAGACACTACGGCACAGTCTCGCGACCATCTTTGCACGTGATTCAATGTACATCGCCGTTGTATAACATATAGGTTATGATTTCAGTGTCAACATTTCAGCAATTGCCTTTACAAATTGGCACTAATATTTTATTAAAAATAAAAATCGGAGCGAAGGATTGCTATTCACACATTCACGCTTTAACAGCCGATGATTTGTTGCAAGAGATAAAAATTGTTGTCACTGTTGCATATTTCCGCACATCGAACCTGGCTTTTGAGTGGTCATTCTCAAAAATGGTGAAAATTAGAAAATGGTTTAAATTTGTTGATGAGGAAAAGTATATCGACCTTGTATAGCAGACACTACGATAACATGCACATATTTTGTCGCATTCGTCATTTTAGTTTAGTGCGGCTTCTGTCACCGGGTCACCCGCATTTTATAGTTTGCTTTTTTTAAAGATTCATCGTCGTGACCAAACATATCACAACAAATTTACTGCGTGATTATTTGTACGGACGATTAAAAATTAAAGTTGTTTCACTTCACGAAATTTCCTAGCGCATTAAAATTATATAAAATTTCCATCATACGTTTGTTATGGGTTAAATTATTAATTAAAAATACTAATCAAAATTCATAGAGTGTCACGCCGATATCAAAATGTTATCTAGTCACACTCATTAAAATTCATCGCACAATGTGAAATAAGACAGTGTGACGAAATCACGAATAGACAATAAATTTATGAATTAGAAAGTACCATTAACGGCTCACTTTAATGACTTTATTCATATGCATTAAATTGAAGAAAGAACATAATAAAATGACAATATAGAAGCTATGCTTAATCGCACGCCAAAGAAACAGCAGGCGGATATGGAATGGGACTCCAAACAAGCTACCTAACGTATCTGCAAAGAAAAAAAAAGCGTTCTATAAATATGCCTTGTTTACTTCGCATTGGATTAGCATGCCGTGGCAAGTGGAACAGTAGACCTAGTAGACCTTATCGGACCTATACGCATACAATCACCTCTTAAATTCAGTGTCAATAGCAACATCTATAAATGTTTTAAAGAGGCAAAGTCGATGTGTTTGAGAATGTTTAAATAATCATTCTTGTATTGTAGGTTCATAAAAATATTATGGCACCATTTATTATAAAATAAAATCCCAGTTTTGGCAATACTCATAACAGTATTAGTTTGATGGAAAACTCGCCATGTTATCAAACGAATAATATTATTTTTGAAAGCAAAACATTATGTTTATTTCACGATAAATCATATATGGATACAATATGGAAACACAATATTTAAACATGCTAAACAAGATTCAAAACTTTCTATTGTAGCAAAAAAAACTTCAATAACACTTTCACGTGCTAGGAAGGTTATTACCTCAATATTGATATTGGTACAGTTGGGGTTCCAGGTGGGTATCCATTCTTTCTTCTAAGAGCTGAAGTAAGAACACAAACTAGCATTGTAACTTCCATATGACACTTTTCCCATAGTAGTCACGCCCTCAAGCAGCGAAGAGTCTCTATGACGTCAAAATGGTGCAGATGAATGAAAGCTTTGTCTTTCAAATTAACACCTGTCTACGTTTTATTCAAAATATAGTAACTTTCTAATATGTATATATTGTTGATAGAAGACTACGTTGCCCAGTTACATCATAGAATCGCCTCGTCGCTAGAGGGCAGATCTCAAAAATAGCAAATCAGTGCAACAGTATTACCAAGTAGTACTCGGGTTGTCCAAGAAAACGTGCTCTAATCATGAAAATGATTGCTCATGACTTTGCAACTGTATCTGAAAACTAGTGTCAAGATCGAGACTACTAGTATCACATTATATATTCACATACTATAAATTGTTTATAAACCAATTTGCATATTTATACGTTTGTTGAATAGTTAGTTATCCATGCTAATGAGTCAGACGAGGATTTGATACACCTTGAGCATGTATAAATAAATAAATTAATAAAATAATCCGTCAAAAACGAGAGCGCGATTTATAGCTAGGATACCCAACTGAACACAGTCGGTACGCTTTAATATCACCGCTAGCTAATTAAATACTGATTTTTTTTCTATCTTTGTTAATCGGTCATTGACATGACCTTGCAATCAGCTTCCCTGACAGGATTAATGATCAGTGCGTTGAATGGGACTTTTATTGTCAAATTTGTGTTCGATGTTAGACGTACATATTTCCTGGACACGTTGTTATTCGAATACGAATACTTATTGTTCGATAATATATTAGGCGCTCATGTACGTTGAATAGTGGATGTTCCGCTCACTGCGAGATCCCGCGAGATACCCTGACAAGCTTTGCTTCAAAATATCGTCCTAGCATAACGTTATGCGATGTACTATTTTCCACGCTTGCGATCCGTCGACAAACTCACAATGCTACGGCTCAAGAGCCTTTTACATAAATTTGGTGTTTCGACATCAAATTCTACTCCCATTGCAGTTGCCAACAGTCTGACCATTGTATTCCGATAAAGTGCAGCGATCATGCCCTTAATTTGACTGTCTAATCATAAAATTTGGTCTTTGATCATTGCTTAACCAATACTGGTAGTCGTTTTTATATGATACAGCTTGGATTTCGACCACCGGATGATGGTTAAGGACGTAACGCTTGGTCACGCGAGATCTCGCAGTGAGCGGAGCATGGCGTATTAACAGTACGTACCAGTAAATTAACGCGCATGCGCATTTCTATATTTTAATTAACGAAGTTACGATGACCACGTCTGAAACAGCATTGGTTCTTTCACATGCAATATCAACCAAGATTTTTAAACAATCCTCAGCTCATAGTCAACAAATGTATGTTTAAAGCGGGAGGGTCGTCACCTGCGCACGCGCGGGAATTGAGTCCCAAGCGACGATGACAACACACGCTGAAAAACGCAAAGACTCATGGGTGGACGCTTGCTTGTAAACAATGACACGCCATGGCCATCTGACGATTGCACAGGTGATGACTCTTCCGCTTTAATAGTGACCAAAAATATGGGATACGGCATTACTACATGCAGTCAAGCGTAATGTCAGAACGTTTCCAATAAAAAGGCAAAAATAGTTGGTGTTTATCCGCATACTAATCAGCAAAAGCATTATTCATTATTTTTTACATCGCTTGTTTCAGTATTTTCTGTATTTGCCACAACTTCTAACAACTCGTATTAATTTATGCGCATGCGCATTCTTGAATTATATACAAGTTCTTACCTCCAAATAAGCTTTCTAGTTGTCCATTTGCCATTCTACGACCGCCTCGCTGTGTTCTACGAAATGCTTTATAAACTATATTATCTGTAATTAGATACGCATATGTTTGTTATTGAAAACAAATGTTAACGCGTGACGTCATTTGATCTGAGACATAGATGTAGTTCTCAAGAGACCATTTTCCGTTGACTGCGAGATCCCACGTTATGCGTGAAATCGAACGTAAAAACATGACAAACAAAAGTCATAGCGTCGTAGTGGCGACAAACATCGCGTGGGATTCGACAAACTCGAAAGTATTGGGGGGGGGGTTATTTCTATGCTTAATAATGTGCTGTACACATTTGATGATGGTCAATTTTGATGAAGTACTAGGGTATTCAAACGCAATATTTCCCTGTCAAAGACAGGCATTTCGGTGTGAGCTACAAAATATAAAAAAATCGTCTTTCACGCAACTCGCAAGATCTCGCAGTCGAACGGAAAATCACCTATTAGGCAGTACGAATAATTTTACTATATTCAACAATGAACTGAATATAAAATTTTGGAAAATTTAAATTTTCACGGCACACTATTGTATTCGTTTGGCGTATTTTTTTTTTCACATGGGATAATATTCTATGCTCAATGATTATAAATATGTCATTGTCTTATTCTATTGCCGTGTTTTCGCAACACTTCAACGATTTCACATTTTTGTGGACACAAGGGAGAAACAACTCTTAATCTGTTTTTTAAATGCCTGATAAAGTACAAGCGTAATACAGTACCGCGTGCATTATGGCAGCCTGAGTGTGCAACGCATTGATATCATGGAGTGTGATGACATTGGTAACACCACGCAGTAAACTTATATAATTATATCATATATTTATATACATTTAATATATGTATCCAGTGTATCTTCTGCTTTCATTCGATCTACGGCCTCTCAACATAATTAGAACAATAGTAAGTACGTGCCATAAGAGCTAATTTAAAACGTAAATAATAAATGTCGTATTCCTGAATTTGGATCACCAGAGTCTATTGAGGCGGACAAACTGTTGAAGATTGCATTTATATGGGTCATCGAAGTGCAGTAAATAATTGAGATGTAAGAAAAAAAACGCGACAAGAAAATAAAGAGTATTGTTCTGAATAGAAAGTTTAATCGTTGCACATCGCGGTTTTTTATACAACTCTCATTAACTGTAATTTTAAGTACATAATGGAGATCATGTCAGTTGTCACGTTGCATGAATCGTATTTGTACAGACGCTACGCAATGTTATCGTCGAGTCGACAAACACTCCGTGCCATTTCGGGTTGGAATACATGATTATGCAACTCAAATACCCCCAAATGTATTTTTATTACCATCACTCTGCCAGACGACAGTACAACATGAGCTACGATGAAATGAAATAATTTAGAAAGTACGAACAATCATCAATACGATACGAAGTGACATTTTTACCAAATAAGCAAAACAGAAGTATCATTTCGATACATGAGTGTTAGTTAGGTTATATGTTTACGAGACAAAAAAAGATTTTCTGAGAGAGAACCAAATTGAGTAGCTTGAACTTCGCGTAGTTAATCACGCAAGATTTTGGGGGTGAATGTGACGTGACACTTAGCAACCAATTCATACGTAATATTATGTTAGGCGATTGGTGAAATACAAGTATTGATTATACAAGTATTCAAGTCAAGTGAATGTTACGTTAAATGTAAAATGTTCAGAATACCGAGATTGCGTCACATGTAAAACCGTGCAATTGAAAGATGTACGTAAGTTGAAGGGGAAAACCGCAAAATAAAAAACCGTATCAGGTGGTAAAAAAGTGAAATGTGGTGATCTAATCAGGTGACACTCGCGGGAAGTGAAAGTCGTGAACCGCGAAAGTAATAACATATGGATTCCGACGAAAACTGCATAGATGAGTTGTTTTACAGATAACCTTATTGCGATGTACTTGGTTATTTATTCTATACAGTTTATTGATCTAAATTTGAATTGCAAGTTTTTAAATAATCTAACAGTAAACAAAACACATCTATAGGGTTTTTACAATTCACACGGGCCCACGCACAAAAGTTATTTCATGGAATAAACAACCAAACCCCTCTAATGTAAAATTTGAGAAAACTGACACATATCAACAGGTATTTTCTGCGAAAATCTGTCAGGGGCCCGGGATAAAAAAAAAAAGTCATCGCCAGTCGACAGTCTGTTGTCTTATTTTCAAACTAATGCTAGGAGTACATCGTCTATTGAGCTGAAGATTGGATTTCACTTACTTAGTATCTGTGGAAAGTCTGGGTGATATTTACTATCCGTCCATGGCTGCGTTGCGTCAATTAGAATCATGCCACTGATCACAAGCAACAATCCCAGATATCTGGTTTTCCACGGAAAGCGCATTACAAGATTCAATCTAGAGTAAAGTGGAGGTCTGTTAATATGGCATACGTGTGACGTTGTCTTGATCAGATAGTAGTACGCAAGTCGAAACCCGGTGCACTGAAGGGTGGTGTTCATTTGCATAGCGATGCAAATGAAGCTGCATTGCAAAAAAAAAAAAAAAAAAAGTCGACGTCACCCCGAGAAAATTAGGATCTAACACAAAACAAAAATGTAATAGGGCGAATAGAGCAAAGACGGGTGAAAAGTAAACACGTGCTCTAGATTGTTACTTATTTATAATTGCAATGATTGTGGATGCTACATTCACTGCGCTGTGTGTGAAGAAAACGTGGACATTCCCTTTTTTCAGTTGCCTTAGGTAAGTTTAATACAGGCTGCTATAGGCGCATTGGTCCATTATCTAAATGGATGATAGGTACGTACTCCGAGAACCTGTGCTTATTAAACCCGGGGGCTTCAAACGTGATAACAATCAAATATGCATATCTGATTGCAGATAAGTAATTATGAACGAGATAAAAATCGGTGTATGAAGTATAGTATATAATTCCGAAGATTATTTCCATGAGTTTTCATGCCTGTATTTTCAGACCCAGCAATAGTATTGTTATATTTATTAAAACCGTAAATCTAAATTGTCTAAACCATAAATACCTTTGAAGCTGACTTTATTTCCATTAGTTCTTATTTATAAAATTTATTCTAGATATATGTTGAACACGATAGTCGTTAATATCAATTTCCAATCATTATATTTTGTGGTATAAAGTATTTTAAGGAGTATTGAATAGATAATCCAACTCAAGTTAGATATGGCCGCTGGGCATACGAGAATATAGTATCAATTCTGACCAGAAACGTTATTTATCAATATTTACAAGTACAATACAGCGCAATGATCGTCGGAGTGCATTCAAAAATAAAACTGACATATATAATTAAAAGACAATGGGTAAATACAATTACAATAGCTGTTTTTTTGTCATCAACAGTTGTGCCTAAGACTATTTTGTTTTCAACGCATACTAGTATATTGGCACACTGTCGGTAATAGATAGAAATAACTTGTACGTTCGTTCCTTGCTAACATAGAATGTTTATGAATATTAAATGAGATCATTCTGTACTTACCTGTGTGGAGCAATCAAACCGGTTATAAAACAAAAAAGACTTCGATCTGCGAATGTTTCAATATAAAGTGTACACCGTAGGAGTGAAATGATGCTTTATAGTAGAATTTAGTTCAAACGAAAGTATAAATTGACGCAGAGTATGTTATGTGTATCGTGGGAGCACGCAAGTGATAGCTTATTAGCGAACTGAACTCTCATTCCCTAACTCCTGAATAATAAATGACGTAAACTAAGCGTCTCCTCCTACAATAGTTAGTGTTTGTTTATTCAAATTACAAAATAATAAAAATAAAAATTAATAAAATAAAGTCAAAAGATTTAACGGTATAAAAGGAAAGACATCTAAACGCAATACGAGGTTATCCCACTATAGCATGATACATTCAAAGTTCGTTGAGATGCTTTGTACAAGTGACGTCATCAACTTCTTCGAAAAAAATATTGTTATTTCTTGTAACGATAATTTATAAATAAACATTATTGGGAGTTCGGATCATTAAATCCCGTGGGTATCTTTTGTTATTCGGTGTGGAATCATCAAATCGATATATGGTACCATCCTTGATGGCACAAACCTCGCACCTGTTTTATTGGTAGTAAATGTACAGCTCGGTTTACTACTTAAACTAACAAGTTCATTTTTCGTGCATGTTGGACTTTGACATGGTATACAGTTTGAATTACAGTCCACGTATCTTATTGTTAATTTTTTTTATGTTTTCGATATATTTATATATCCTTTATATTCAAGAAAGCGCACGTTATCAAACATATGTGACGTAATTGTTAGCGTGGTCACACTGTGTAGGTTCAATGTCCGACCTGCCGATTGGGCAATTACAAAATATACTGTAAATGTATTAATTATTCACTGGGTTTAAATTTCGCTTTTTTTTGCTGATAATTATAGTCCGCTAAATTAAATCCAATAAAAAATAACAATAAATCTCATTGTTTCTTTGACAAATTCGTGAAGTTAAAACACAATGAATATGCTCAAAGCATTAAAGTAGTGAAATTAAATGTCAGTGAAAATAAATGATTTTACAGTATGATCCATTCGGCTCGATTAATTTGAAGAATGACGGCGCAAAGAGGTCGTAAATGTGTTATGTGATATGTTCCAGTACACAGTGAACATGCCCCCTGTGTAGCGGGCTACCGCACGATAGCTGAAACTTGTTCTCAAGTGACAGGGTCACCAAAAACAAAAATAACCGACAAAAGTGAATAGCTAACAATTGCTTGTTAAACGCCAAGACATTTCTTGTATATGCACTCCTAAAAACCTGTAGTACGACATGACGACTGTCAGCCGGTCATCTTAAAATATGGTATATCAGTATCTGTATGGATTGTATCTCGGTCATTATTTCTCTTTTCGTTCATAATCGTGGATCATAATAAATAACCCGCGTGTTTTCTATTAGGGTTTGAATGGCAAGTGATGTGCATTCATAAAACAAACTCTCCCATTTTTTTATTATACAGTTATAAAATATTAATTATTCACCCTAGACCTTCATAATGAATGATTTTTATAATTTATTTTGAGTAGTGTGCTTCTGATGGTATACGAACGAGTTTATGTTCTCACCTCGTCGTAAATTCTTGCTTGATATATACTATAATCTTCATCGATCCCCCAATTAACTGTATTTGTCACGCAAGCGCAAGTTACCACAATTTAAATAAATTCTAAAAACGTGTATTCAACAGATTCCGAGTATCCCAATTACGGTACTGACGTGGGTAGACGTGTGAACACCACGGTAGCCTAAGGTGTTGAACTGGCAAACCCATTAATGCATATTAAGTCACTGAGATGATGTACGACTGTTCATATTATGCTGCTGAATAGGAGTCAAAGTTCACGGTGAGTGGTGAGTGTCATGTCATCGCATTAGGCGTGTTGTAAATAAAAATAAAATACAAAAACTTATAATTTGTCAAGGTTTGTTTACAATACGTCAACATTTAGCCGGTTGTGAGTCAGTGAGACGTCCTTGGACGAGTTTATGATGATCATTGATTACTCATCACGCTGGCCACGATGGTGTCACACATAGTAGTAATAACCAACGTGTTGAACTTGAACGTGCAGTTTACGAGTTTCCTCATATTTGAAAATCTTGTCGTTTGTATACATTTATTCACCAGCCTATCAGCACGCCTATGCATCTATCTGTGCTGTGGTATACATATTCACTAAACTATGCGTAATTTTTATTCAGTTTAGTTTAGACGGATATAGTCGCTGAGATCTCGTTTAGAGCGAGAAAGTCACGAGTAAAATAGTCTTTTATTCTTTTCCAACGAGACACTTTTCATTCCATTGATTTATGTAACGATGGAATTTGAAACAATGGACGTGATGACGGGGTGGAACACTATTTGAGAAGCAAAAAGAAGTCTCGTGGCTTCCTCACTTCTAGCGAGATCTCGGCGACCATTTGCGTCTAAGGTCTATTGAAAGTTTAAAGCGGGTAGACGCTTGTTTGTAAACAATCATGACAGGCTATGGCATTTTGGCGCATGCACAGGTGACGATTCCCCCGCTTTAATGTACTGTCTTGCCCACGATTACGACATTTTGACAGAAAAATGTGTAGCCGTGCATATATTAAAATTTATTAAGAGTGACGCGGTTAAATTCGACGTGACACTCCTGAAAATATATTCATTCCGAAACATGTAATTATGCAATTCACAGTAATACCAGCAGACTCACTTCATGACATTGTTTTCAATTGTCAAGCGATAAGAAGACAAATAATTATAATTAATAATGAAAAACAATAAATTGAAATCAAATTAAAAAATTAAGCCAACCAGAGTCTTATTTTAATCAGATTGGAGTTATGCAAGCAGTGATTGTGTGTTTTCAAATTACTTTAGCAGTAGCTAGACTCTGGATGCTGTCTAGCACTAATGTATTTCTACAAACAGACAAACAAACACAATAACAAGAAACTCTGATTTAATAGCCCTTATACGCAAATGGACGCGAAGATGTCACTTAGAACGTGAGGTCTGTTAGCTCCCGCCATTGCTTTCACTGCCCCTCTGATTTATGTAATCATTGTACTTGGAACAGTAGTCAGAGTGAAAACAAAGCACTGTTTGAGGGCGCACAAGAGATAGGCAATGCCATCAGAAACAATAGATAATTGAGTATCCTGCAGTGTAATAATACAACATACTTAACAACGGAAAAGAGAATGGTCGAAGTGGCTTCTAGCAAATTTTAGAAATCCAATATGGACAAAACAAATATTTTAAAATACTGTTCTTCGATACCTAGTTGGAATACGATTTATTGTATACTACAAATTTTGACTGTGTAACACACTGTATAGTATTCCTTTAGTGGAAATGAGACAGCTGCACATGCGCAGTGATTATTATCGCGCGTATCAAAACAAATAGCATACATACGCTATAGAGAATTTCAATGTTTATTTATATTCAATGTGCTCAAACAAAAGTATTACAAATTACCCGTTCTGGTCATTAATTGAAATAGGAATATACCGTACAAAGGCTATCGTCTCAATAGCAAATTATTTTTACTCCACGTTTAACCGCATTTAATGTGCGCACAAACTAGCACAGATCTGAACGAGGATGAGATTTTTCACAGATTATTTCCACGTTGGATAATGATCAAAGGAAACTCAGTACTCGAGTTTTCTTGTGAGCACACACGAGGAACACGCTAAGGTAGTGGCTTTTTATTTTATCTTAATGATGAGAATAACAGTTAGTGGGAGTCTTGTAACAAAAACACATTGTAAGATTAATTTCAATAATTTCTAAGACGCCAATGCGACCGGTTGTGGGTCTACGTCATTCACATATGGCCTTATGAAAGCATTTAGGCTATATCAAAATCCATTAGGAAAATATGGACATAGTGCATTTTCTCCAGAACGAAATTCATGCCTCACTGAATGCATTTGAAAATATTACACTCCGGACTCCGAAATAGGCCGGGTGTTTACATATGTTATTTGAGAGGAAGGGGTAATTTTTTTTAGTCGGATAAAGCACCTAAGGCCTCGACATTTCATCTCCGATGGGGTCGTCTGCTTGAGTTCAGGAGCATAATCAAAGAACAACGGACCTCACATGTAAATGCGAGACTTGTTTTTCGTCTCTCAAATAGTGTCCCATCTCCCGTCTTCCTTCATAGCCTCTACTATTTCACTGATTGCTGCGATCATGATATTTCAATTGGAACCCTGATGATGGCAGGAAAGAACCTAGATAAGCTAGCAATATTTTCCAAACCAACTGGTTTTATCATTTAATCGCGGTGTTCAGTGAAAGTCGTTCTGTATATCACATAATATGAGTGTAAATTTAACCACAGACATCGCAGACATGTTAAAGGCCAGTTGACAAACTCCCACTGAAATGAACATGTGAGCTATCATATAACCAGGCCGTCTGTAACACACGTTGCTAAGTTGATGAATAAAATTGGGCGTCCTGGATATTATTTCATATCATTTATATTTATTAATGAACAGTAACACAGCCAAGCCTATAAAGAATACAATAAAAAGCCGATCTGTCATAGAAAAATACAATTTGTTACTAGTAAACAGCGTTATATGGAATAATTCAACGAGACTTTAAGTAGCAAAGAGATCCCGTGAGATCCCATGGTACCATGGGATTCATTTTGTTCATGTAGCGATCGAGCCTTCTTAAGGTTCATTAAAGTATATGAGTCAAACATGTTGGCTGTTCGCGTTTAATAATAGCTGTATATAACCGATAACTTTTCATGAAGAAAAGGTCTTATATTTCTCACGCTCTTGCAATCGCCTTATCGCGTTTTCGCATTAATGCCATTGACTGCAATCAAGCGTACTCGCATAATTTTGGCAATGGCGACGGTAATGTATGATGGGTTTGGTGTATCGTGTAAACACGACAATATCACAATGACATGTGTCAGTTTCAATATATCGTGTAAACACGACAATATCACAATGACATGTAATCAGTGATGATTGTCAGTATATCGTGTAAACACGGTAATATAACAATGCTATGTGGCGGGTTTCGATATATCGTGTACACACGGTGATATCACAATGATATGTAATGGGTTTCAGTATATCGTGTACACACGGCAATATCACAATGATATGTGGTTGGTTTCGATATATCGTGTAAACACGGCAATATCATAATGATATGTAATGGCTTTCAGTATATCGTGTAAACACGGTAATATCACAATGATATGTAATCAGTGATGATTGTCAGTATATCGTGTAAACACGGTAATATAACAATGATATGTGGCGGGTTTCGATATATCGCGTACACACGGTGATATCACAATGATATGTAATGGGTTTCAGTATATCGTGTACACACGGCAATATCACAATGATATGTAAAGGTTTTCAATATATCGTGTAAACACGGGAATATCACAATTATATGTGGTGGGTTTCGATATATCGTGTACACACGGCAATATCATAATGATATGTAATGGGTTTCAGTATATCGTGTAAACACGGTAATATCACAATGAAATGTAATCAGTGATGATTGTCAGTATATCGTGTAAACACGGCAATATAACAATGATATGTGGCGGGTTTCGATATATCGTGTACACACGGTGATATCACAATGATATGTAATGAGTTTCAGTATATCGTGTACACACGGCAATATCACAATGATATGTAAAGGTTTTCAATATATCGTGTAAACACGGGAATATCACAATGATATGTGGTGGGTTTCGATATATCGTGTACACACGGCAATATCATAATGATATGTAATGGGTTTCAGTATATCGTGTAAACACGGTAATATCACAATGAAATGTAATGGTCTTCAATATATCGTGTAAACACGGATTGTCAGTATGACATCTGGTGGTTTCAGTGTATCATTTATACACGGCAATATCATATCATGATATATAACCGGTTTCAATTTGTCGAGTAAATAAGGTAATATCACCTTTACATGTGGTGATTTCAGTATATCTGATAAACATGGCAATAACTCAATGGTATGTGGTGGTTTAAGTATATCGTGTAAACACTTCAATATCACATTGATATGTTGTGGTTTTCATTAAAGCGACTTTTTCGAGTGAGAATGACGACGTTACTATGTAAAATGCGGCGACCATTAACCTTCAAATAAAGTCACACAACTTGAAGCAGCACGTGTGACCACGTACGAGATACCATTTTAATCACAATTAAGGTAGAGATGCAGTTTATTTATGAATTTCAATCAAAAATAGTTTTTTTCGTTTTTTATATAGATTTTTATCTAAAGAACATTCTGTGAAAATTTGACCAATGTATTCTTATTGAAACACCGTTAAAATTGCTGTTTATTTTCTGGTTAAAAATAAAAAAACACTCACACGTGGCAATGTTTATGTCCAATTGCCTAATTTGCATGAGCAATCAAATAATTGATTGACAATATGCAAATCGAGATTGTACGGGTCATAGTTCATTCAATTCATGCGCATGTGCAATTATTCTCAAATCAGTTCTCGCTCGCTAGCAAACCAAACATTATATTTCCTCAGCGTTTTTTTCCTAATGTTTATCATTACATTATGCGTGGTATGAAAAGAAAGAGAGATAGAAAGAAGATTCAGATTATTTTTATGTTGGAAGAGGCAAAAGCTACACTGAAGGCATCAGCCCGCCGAACGAAAAACAAAATCGATGTGAGCGTCCAAACGTGACTTTCCCTGAAGGCGTGAATCCGAGTTTCTGATTGACTGAGAGATATTATTTTTAAAAAATAAACTGAGCATGTGAAGAATAATTTAACATTGTTTACAGTGATAACAGCTCATTGTCGAAACGAAGCTTACCCATTTACGCTACTCATACTCTTGAATAGGCGTCAATGACTACGGTAAAACTTAGACTCTATTTTAGGCATTAGGAATAATTGAAATGTCCGAAATACACCTTAAAAGTCCCATTTTATTTATTTCTAAATCCCATCCCTAATTTACGGCAAAATCTGGTCCCTCAATTAAGGGACACGTGAGCTTTGATTCTAACCGGATATATTGCACTGGGTCGGGGAGATACAAACTTTTGTGTATCTTTTGTCTAATGGTACCTGTACTTCGATCATTCGCAAGTTTTGCTCGGTGGTGCGAGACAGCTTTGTTTGCAACCGGACGAACTCCGTTTAATTCAATGAAGCAAACAACTGACAATGCTAAAATAAATTGCAGAGGTACGCTAAAATTAATTGAAAACAAGCAAATAATTTCAATGAAAAATAAATCACAGAGAGAGGTAACTTGATACATTAACAACTCTTTTGACGCGCTGACCGCTTCTCCGCGTCTGATGTTTTGTTTTCCTTGTCATAATACTTACTGATTGATGATTTTTTTTTTGATTTTTGAGGTTTTTTTAGCAACTCGGCCACGACCTTTTCTTTTTCCGTGAAAAATGGGGAAGTTTACGCCAATTTCACACATATATATAATATATACGATTTAAAACTCAAACGTTCTTTTAATTATGGATAACGCCATATGTATTATTATGTACATGTTCTGAGTTACATGTG